ATGTATTGTCAAGAGACGCAGGAGCGTACAAAGTCAGTAAGAAGACGCAATTGTGGGCTCTAATGGCATTTTTAGGGAACCTGATATCCAGAATGTTAAGTATAAAGGCGGTTGACCACAGTGACCTGAAGCTTGGCGGCGGTAGTGACCTCCTGGGCGGCTGCGGGGACACTGAGTGAGGTGCGGGAGGTGGCGCGGGGCGGGCGTGTCAAGTTCAAGTACGTTTATTGAGACAATAAAATACGTCTCAAAGAGATAGAATAGCTTTGGCTATTTCTACCCCCCCCCCCTTCCAGAAGCGGGCGTGTCGACCAGCAGGCGGGAGGGCATCCTGGGAGAGAGGTGACGGGAGTGTGGACTCCCAGCTACCGTCCCGGGCCGGGTCAGGTGACACGGGCCACGGTTCACCTGGTCCAGGACCCGCCACCTGGCTGCTGGGTTTAATAACAGAGCCACAAGAGCTGCGTGCTGGCGTGTGGAGAGAGTGCCGCCACATATTAGCGCACAAGCGCGTCTCTGGCTCCAGTACTCGCTACTCGCGGCGTGAGTTACGTCCCTCATGGTAATCCTCTATTAAAAAAGTACAGTTTCATTGTTAGTTTCATAATTCTCTAATTGTTACTTGAGTTAACAATGGGAATTAGAAGTTGCCTTTCCTTATAAAGCAATAATTGGGCTGCATCTGTCACTGGTAAGGGTCATTATGAAAGTGATTCCTTAGCTGCTGGAAGTTACTTGAGTTGAGTAGATAGTGACTGAGGAAGTGTCCATTTGGTCGTTCACAATATTTGCACTTTCATCGTCTTCTGTAGTGTTCATTGTTATGACCCCAGGTAGCCTGAAGAACGAGTCTACCTGTCTGTCTGTCTGAGAGTTATTCCGCCTACCAGACCTGATTGAGAGGTCAGAGGAAGTATAGATATATGAATACTATATACATGATAAATGTCAGTGAATAGTTTAAAAGCATGAGCAGAGGATGAACGTATAAATAAGTGACATTACATGAGATGTCGATACTTTGCTGACATGATGTGAGGCTCGCGAGACATCTTGACACCATTTCAGCTGGAGAAGTTGAAGTTAGAACTGCAGATGAAGAATGAGGTAGAAAAGGAGAAAGAGAAAACCAGACTAGAGGTAGAAGAGGAAAAAGAGAGAACCCGAGTAAGAGAACTGGAGTTGAAACAGGAGAAAGAAAAGGAGAAAACCAGGGTAACAGAACTGAAGTTGGAGCAAGAAAAAGAGAGAACAAAACAAATGGAGATAGAAACCAATAGAGCTTTGGTAGAGCAAAGGGTTGAACGTGGGTTGCCAGAGAGCACCACCCATGTATCACACCCACACGATATTAAAGTTAGAGAAAAGGACACTCCCCTATTTGTGCCTGAGGAGGCAGAGAGCTTCTTCCAGCATTTCGAGAAGGTGTCCAGCATCAAAGAGTGGCCACAAGAAGAATGGGCCCATTCTTCAATTTTAATAATAATAATTATAATAATAATAATACTTTATTCACAAGAAGGTACAATGAGTTGATGAAGGAAGGAACTATCAGGAGAAAGCTCCAAGCCATTGAGATAGTGAGATTACATAAGATTGGTGTTTTTACACTCTTGCAAAGCCACTAACACGCATAGTGCTTCGGGCAGGTGCTTAATCTAACATATCAGGTAAGATGAAAAGGTACATTGTAGCAGGGTTTTTATATCAACACATTAATACAAAATAAATTGAGAGGTAATTACACTGGTGAAGTAAGTAGGCATTCATCAGTCTCAGGAGACTATACGCTCTGGTTGTCGGTCTGGAGTGGCCTCTCCAGGACGCAAGGCCTGATAAGGTTGATAAGGGGAAGAGGCTGTCACCAATGCAGCAGGTCCGTCCTCTCCACGGCACCGAAAGTCTCTAATGAAAAGGCAAACGCCAATACGATTGGTTCCAGCACCATCGCAGGAGCTGCACTAGGGGCTCCAGCTCCAGTTCATATATCTTCACTGGTGAAGATATATGTCTTAAGTACTAATCTTGGGGAAGTGGGTAGTACCAGATACAGTGTGAGTTTGAAACACAAGGTAGGAAACTATGAGAATGAAAATAGATACTTTTTGGTTTTACTTTGAATAAGTCATAGGTTGGACGATTTTTTAATTCATCAGGGAGTGAGTTCCATAGGCTGGGTCCTTTTATTTCCATGAAGTGTGCACAGATTTAGCTTGACTCTGGGGATATCAAAGAGATATTTATTTATCTCTAGTTTATTATTATCTGACCTATCTCAGTTTTCCATGGCCCTATCTTTCCCCTAATCTTTGTTTGATATAAATGGAAAACCCCTTTTGGTAGTGCTTCTTATTTGTTTCATCTGACCGCTTGACGCAGCAGGAAGCTAGAACCCCAAACCTGTCGAAACTGTAAATGTAGCCAAGCTCCTGTTTAGGCAGTACTTACAGTAATGATGTTGACCATCGTACATATATTGACGTAAAAGGCAATTAGAAAGCAGAATCCGTACTATTGAATTTGGACAAACCGGAAAAGGTTTTGTATTTATGTTGCTATTAGAACATGACCTAACCATCCGAAGCCTAATACACGCTATCTGAGGCCTAACACTGTACATATAAGTGCTATATTAGGCCTAGGAATGTTGAAGTTTGGTTTATAGCTTTATTTTTTTCGGATTATAACGTGAATAGCACCAAATTCTACTAATTGTCCATTACGTCAATTGTCCGTTCATATAACGTAATTGTCCATTACGTCAAAATATGAACGGTGGTTCACATAATTTTAAAAAAGTAGTACCTGAACCGGAGGATGGGATGCGCTAGACCTTATCTTCATAATGATGAATTGGACAAGAACAAAATGATTACAAACGCATGTCCCAGACATCATCATTATTATTATCAAATTAATGTTATTATTACCACCAAAGGTATAGCATTTGGTCAGGTCTACATCAGCACATCACTATTTTCTTGAATTTACCTGAGGGCCACTAGTTACTTGTGGTCGGTCTCTAACCCAGTAATGGATGACATTTATTTATTTATTTATTTATATTCAAGAAGGTGCATTGGGGGTTAAGAGTGTATAGTAATGATGATTTTACCTTCTTGTATAGCCACTATCAGGCATAGCTTTTCGGGCAAGTCCTTAATCTAACAGATAATTTTAAGTGATAGATAATTTCCAGCAAAATTGACAAATAATGTTTACAGGTACATTGTAAGAAATTTTGACACAATGAACAAAGATTAGATTAATACACAATCATGACAAGGATTACTAGGTACATTAGGGTAAAGTTTGAGGGTTATCACTTGGTTCATTGTAGCACAATTTGAGGATCATTTCAAGGAATAATGCCCTCAATATAACAACCATGATATCAGATGATATAAATGATTACAATGGTAAAGTTATATGGCTTAGGTACATACATTGGGGAATTGGGTAGCACTAGATACAGTGCGAGTTTAAAGCACAAGGTAGGAAACTATGAAGATGAAATTAGGTACTTTTTGTTTTTGTTTTTGAATAAGGCAAAAGTTGGACAGCTTTTCAATTCGGTAGAGAGTGAGTTCCATAAACTAGGTCCCTTTATTTGCATAGAGTGTTTACACAGATGAAGTTTGACTCTTGGGATATCAAAGAGATATTTATTTCTGGTTTGGTGATTATGGGTCTTATTGCATCTGTCCAGGGCGAGTTTCATAGCAGGATTCGCATTTAAGAACAGGGTTTTGTAAATGTAGATGGCACAAGAGAACGTGTGAAGTGAGTTTATGTTTAACGTGTTTAGGGATTTAAACAGGGGGGCTGAGTGTTGTCTGGAAGCAGAGTTTGTTATTGTTCTGATAGCATATTTTTGCTGGGTGATGATGGACTTAAGGTAGCTTGTAGTGGTTGAACCCAATGCACAGATACCATAAGTAAGATAGGGATAGATTAGTGCGTAGTATAGTGAGAGGAGAGCAGAGTTAGGTACATAATATCTGATTTTAGAGAGTATACCAACTATTTTAGAGACTTCCTTAGTTATGTGTTGAATGTGGGTGCTGAAGTTGAGTCTCTTGTCTAGGAATAGGCCAAGAAACTTGCCATCATTTTTATTACTGATGTTAATGTTGTCTATCTGTAGCTGAATTGCATTCGATGATTTGCTTCCAAATAAGATGTAGTAAGTCTTTTCTATGTTTAATGTTAGTTTCTTAGTTGACATCCATAAGTGGACTTTTTTTAATTCATTATTCACAACATTATTTAGTGTATGTGGGCTGGGGTCTGAATAGATAAGGGTAGTATCGTCAGCAAACATTATAGGTTTAAGAATATTCGAGACATTAGGCAGATCATTGATATATATAAGAAATAGAAGAGGTCCTAAGATGCTGCCCTGTGGCACTCCAACGGTAATTGGTAGAGTGGAAGAAGTTGTATCATTGATGGTTACACATTGGTGTCTGTCACTAAGATAGGATCGGATGTCGGCAAGAGCAAGGCCTCGGATTCCATAATGCTGGAGTTCAAGTAAGAGATAGCTGTGATTAACAGTATCAAAGGCTTTTCTTAGGTCAATGAAGAGTCTAATCAGAAACTCATTTTTGTCAAGGGCTGAGTAGATTACGTCAAGGAGACTAATGATTGCATCATTGGTGCTCTTTTGGGACCGGAAGCCAAACTGGCAGGGGCTGAGTATGTCGAATTTTACGAGGTAGGAATAGAGCTGTTTGTAAATAATTTTTTCAAATATTTTTGATAGAATGGGTAGATTTGATATTGGTCTATAATTGTTTATGTCCGCCGGATTGCCTCCTTTATGGACTGGCGTTACTCTTGCTTTTTTCAGGATATCAAGGAAGGTATGACACTCTATAGATTTGTTGAATAGTAGAGCTATGGGTGGGGTAAGGGCATGGGAGGCTCTCTTGTATACAATGGACGGAATTTCACTGGTGTTCTCTGCCTTGGTTTTTAGAGAGTGTATAATGGACATTTATTTTATATAATCCCTTATCACTTATTATTTTATATAATCCCAATAATATAATATATATTTTATATAATCCCTTATCACTTATTTTATATAAGTGGGGATTGTAGGTATTTATATTACCTATTTGATATTTCAAGAGTGCGACTTAACCAAACTAGAAATCCTCTACAAATCATGTAACCCAGAATGTGGAATGGTCTCCCCAATCATGTCAAGGGCTGTACCTCTCTCAACCAGTTGAAGAGCAAAACCGAGTGCTACTTAATTAACTCCCTGTAATCTACCTTACCCCGTAAATGTCAACCCATGTCTTGCTTTTGTTAAACAATGCTGTTTGTTCACCAACCTGTACAATTGCTGATTTCTGCCATGTTCCCCCCATTTTTATTTATTCCTTTTTTCAACACAATTTATACCTAATCTCAATTACTATTAAATTTTAGTCTAAGTGTTTTTCCCCCACACCTTGCCCGAAACGTTATGCGTATTAGTGGCTTTAGGTATTGTATGTACTAACTTTATCTATAAATCCAACATTATGTTTGTAAATCAACTATGTATGTACTTTTCCTGAATAAAAATTTATTTATTTATTTTATTACTAGCCTATAATAATGTAACTTATCATAACATAACTTACACAACGTAACTTCTCTTACCAAACCAGACTTACCTGAGGTAACCTATCCTAATGTAACTTAGTCCAATATACCTATTCCTCCCTATCTGAGGTAACTTAACCATCCAGACATGACTTAGCTAACTTAGCTGGGATAACTTACCTAACCTGATCTACCCATCCTCTTCTACATGATGTAACTTACTTAACCTAACTTACCTGACATAGCTTACCCATCCTGACCTGACGAACTTATATAACTTACTAACTTATCTAATCTTCCCTACCTAATGTAACTTACCTGCCCTGACATAACCTAACTTATATAACTTACCTAACCTAACTTACTTAGCATAACCTATTTAAAGCATCATCTTATTCTCCATACCACAAACGACCACAAGTACGGTTTCTAACTGACACATGTGGAGAACTAGTGTTACAATTGATATGTTTGTCAGTCTACCACACCGCTCTCCATCAGTTAGCAAACTGGGATCATTTGGCTAAGATTTCTGGTAGCAGATCATTTTTAATTAAATATTT